AAATAAATAAAACTCATGTACGTGAGAGACCTGTTCCAGACAGAACATTCTATAAAGTACAGACACTAAGATCAGACATCTTTTGACGACTTCCTCTTCATGATGCCCATGCCAATTCTGAGTTTAACTTCAGAATTCTGACTTTGTTTTTTTAGAATTTTGACTTTAATCTGACCTTTATCACAAATAATAATCATGGTTCTGAAGAAGAAAGTCTGAGTTCTGAAGAAAACAACATAAACTTCATAGTGGCACTAATTATCTTTTGCACTAATCAGATTAATGTTACTTTGCTAGGAAGATATTGCAAATTTTAGATTTCTGTAAAACAAACTAACAGTGGCACATACAAGCAAAACATGCAAACTTCACACAGAAAGATCTTAGTCATGGTTTCAACCCACAGCTGCTTCACTGTGCATCACTTTCCCTGTCTTATTGTATTTCTTGCATGAGCAAATAATCATCCAGCTCTCTTGCTAGGCATCAGAAACACACAACGCCTTTTCTTCCCATTACAAAGAAGTGCTGTTTAAATGAGCATGTCCTGTTTTGAGTTGTCTACTGGTGGAACCCCAGTTTCTCATTTCTCCTACTTTTCTTTGAACTGGGGACAAATGGCCAGCTTTAATTACCTTTCCCTAAAGCTGTTGTCATTGCTCCATTACTTCTCTGAAACTCTCAAGTTTGACTCCTAAACTGGGAGGGTAAGATCTTTGTTGGTTTATGCTGCTCTCTGGTGGACAAGAACAAAACTTTTACTCAACTCCTGTGTTCGAAATTTAAACTGCTCCTGCAAAAGTCATGAATACAGAAGAGGATTGGGGCCACTCAGAATCCTGAGAGGAATCAGAATTAGCTCGTGTTCGTGCTGCTGTTCGACGTAATGTTTTTATGCTATTAGTGCTTAGTGTATGTTTAGTTGCTGTTTTTCTTAGTTCATATTTTAGATGTTATCATTGTTTTTCTTTTACATTTTTATTGTTGGATGTAACTGGGACCCTGTGTACATAATTTCATTCCACCACATGTACCACATGTGGTGCGAACGACAATAAAGACTCTCTGATATATAACAGTGGTGACACTCATAAAAGCTGGAGAACAATTTGGACCTTTTCATATGCATTTAGACTTAGATTTATTGAGAAAAGTATGTAGAAAAAAACAATATTGTAGGTTAAAAATAGTTAGGTCAAAACTGTAAACTTACCATTGTGGATCAAATTTGCAGTAGCCCCTGTTTGAATGTCAAGCTGTGCTCCACCACTCTGCTTGGCCCAAAGTATTTATTCCTGATCATTTTCTTCATCACTCGTTCTCTTTTGTCACATTTAGCAGCAGATACCCTTTTATATTTCCACCTAAATGTCCTCTCCAAGATTCTACCCTTGTCTGATTCTGCCATATTTGTTTACTTACACGACCCACAACCAGCCTGATGTTGGTCAGTCACGATACTCAAGCTCGTATGCAGCTTTGTACGGATTCAGGTGAGTGCTTTATTTACGCTGAGTTTGGACCCGCATTTCAGTTCTGCATATCTGGAAAACAAAAAGTATGTAAACTATTTCAAACTGCACCGTTTAATTTAATTCAGGGTAATCTCTGTTTTGTAGGGTTTGGGGGGCAACATTCTTTTTCAATAGGGCCAAATCAAGATATTTAAAGCAACCAAAGGGCTGAATAGAGAATTGAAAAATAAACTTCTTTAAGGACAGTAAAACAGAACAACTTTTTTCAGACTTTTTCTTGTTGCAGTATAATTAGCATGTTTGAATAAAAAAAGTTTTTTTTTAAATTACTTTCTGTAAACTACACTTGACAACATTTAATCCTCCATCCATCCATCCATTATCTTTACCCGCTTCTTCCATTTTGGGTCATGGGGGTCGCCAGTGCCCATGTCCAGCAATCACTGTG